TTAACCCAATGCTTAAGTGGGTATAATTAATAATAGGTTAAAATACCAATTTAATCCTTCAATATTTAGATTTGTATTAAATTTATTTTTAAATTTTAAAAAATATTAAAATTATCCTTAAACTTTTAATTTTTTCTGATTTCATCCTTTCCTCATTTAATTGCTAATATGTCCAACTTTTTCCTTCAAAATCGTCATATTGTTATATCTCATTGTTACTTGGATATGCCACATAGACTAAATTACAAATAAATCAAATTTTTAGTAAAATTTCTATTTGTCTGTTGGCTTTCTTACGAGTAACCACAAAACTCAAAAATCATTTTAAAACCCAAGTTATTCCAACTTTTCCTCTACAAATATATTACCCTTAAATATAATCTCAAAATCAACTTCACAGAATTTCCTAAATATATAAAAACTTCCTAACAGCTGATAAATAAATTTGAAATTGCTCTCATTGATGCACTAAAATCAACTTAACAAGTGTATTAGTCGCTCCAAGTAATATAATGATTAATAGAGAGTGTCGAACCCACGAGAATTATGTCTAATTAAGTACTAAAATAATTAGTCTAAATTTATTTGAACAATCGAAAAGGAAAAAGGTTTAACTAAAAAATAATAAAAGGAAAATAACAATTAAATTAAACCTAATCAAGATATTAGGTACTAAGGCATTGATTTCACCATAATCAATCAATATAAATTCTGAATTAATATGCTCATTTATTGAGTGTTATTACATGTGATGGCAGATTTCCCTAAATTAATTAGCTAGCTTTCTTAAGTCAAGTTAATCCTTTAGTTGTTTGTTAAATTAATCATATCTCTATGTAATTTTAAATAAACTAATAAACATTAAATTCTATGAAAACCACTAGCTTAAGAAGGGGGAGCTCCTAACTCTCTTCTTTTCCTCCATTATCACATGTGAGCTAATTACCTCTCGGTCTCATAGTCTAGCATATGGTTTATATTATTATTAGTCTAATTTACACAATTCTTTCTCAAGTTCATGCATAAATAACTAAATCAATCGAAAGGTCATCAATATTAGGTTTCCAATGCATTAAGTTCAATAATATAAACTTCTCATGCAAATAACTTTAATTGAAAGTATAAAATCACAAAATCTATATTGAATTAATTAGGCTACATCGTAATCTTAATAGAATAAATCAGTTTATAATAAAAGTAATAAAATCTAAAATCATAGTTATGAACATAAGAATAACAAGGAAGAATAAAATCCAATTTGAAAATATTGCAATCCTTGATCTCCTATTGTTAAATCCTCTCTCTTGATCTTCAAGAATTAATGCCCAAAAGAAGGTTGTCACCAGCTCCACAAAGCTCCTTTAATTCTGAATTTAGATCGATATTTATAAGGTTTTAGAAGCCCTAATTAAAATAGAAGTAGGATTTGAAACAAAATTAGAAACTTAATGTTGGACGCTGAACGTATGGTGTTGATACTTCAAATTACGTATCGACACAAAATAGGAAATAAAAAGCCTAATTCTAGACGCTTAACATATAGTGTTGACACCCCGATTATGTGTCGACACTCCACTCGTGTCGAGTTTTTGACCTCCTTCTGCAATTTTTTCAATGGTAAAATGATAGATCTGTCCTCTAGGTTTTGTACAATGAGCACTTAGATTCCAAAACTCAAGATTCATTAAGTAAGGTCCCAAAGAAGAGCCTTTCTTCTTGCAATTTAGTTCCTCAACTTTCAAAAAATATTCAATTAATCTCACAAACTCCTATTTTTATGCAAGTCCTTTTCTGCACAAAAAATAAAAACTATGTAAAATCTTATAAAATTCTTCCAAATATCGATAATATCAAGATAAAAATTCTACATTAATATCTATATAAATTCAGGTCATTACTCATAATCAATCAATTTCTTCCATGGAAACAAATCCAAGCAAAAACTACCCCAAAATTTTCTTCTTCCCCTTCTCCTTTCTCAATAACCAAACAACCCATTAGAAATTCCCTTCAGACCTGATTCAACATACAAAAGAATCTTAAAAATTTGGGTATGTTCATGATCCTTTGGATCAATCCAATAACTGTATAAATCCATCAACTGTAGCTGCTCACAATATTTACAACCCAGATCCGGATAAAAAAAAAAAAAGAAGCAAAACTCTCAAATCCACTCTTAAAAAATATCGGTAAAAACATATCCACCCCTAAAAAAAATAAGGATAAATTGTTCTTTCAAATTATAAATCAATACAAATCACCTCTTTTTTAACAAGAAACGTCAGAATTTTGTTTGCCACGTCAATATTTTTTAATGAAAAACGTTGAAAAATGGATGATTTGTATTGATTATGATTTAGAAGGGTAATTTGTCCCTGTTTTTTTTTTTAGGGGTGAATATGTCCATATCGATTTTTTTTAGGGTGGATTTGAGGGTTCTGCAAAAAAAAAAAAAAAAAAAAAACCCAATTTGGATTTTGCTCTGCAACATAACTCGATCTAGGTGTTGTTGTTGGCCGATGATGGTGTCGACACTGAAGATTGAGGAATAAGAATTTCAATGCTAGAGAATAAGAGAAGAACACTGGTGTGATATCTACAGTACAGATCTGGGTCAAAAATCCAATCTGGGTGTTGGAGAATGTGAATGTGTTGAAAGGGAGGAATATTGGAGGTAAGGATGGCGAAAGCTTCGGGCTTGGTTGATGTTGATGCCGGGTTGTGATTGGACCTAAATCTTAATTTCATCAGTTACTTTTAGAAAATTTCATAATTTAATTAATTAATTATAAATGAATCTTAATTTATCTATTAAGATTAAAAAAATTGTTTTGGAAATAAATTTTTTATATTATTTTTTAGTATAATTTTATATATTATTTAAATAATTTATTTTTTTATTTATATAAAATTCATATTATTAAATATATTTATAAAAAAATTTATATAAAAAATTATCACTAAATTATTATAATTAAAAAATATCATGCATAAGAAAGTGTTATCTCAACATACTTTATGCATGTGTTTTTGCCGCATCATTATTTTTTTAAAGCAAGTGGGAATTTTTTGGCAACTTGGTGTGCCATTTGTCAATTTTGTTAACAAAGGGACAAATTTGGTACTGAAAATGACCGTTTAAGAATAATCTTAATATTTTTTAAAGTTTAATGATAAATGTGATACAAATTTGAAAGTTGAGGGACCAAGTTAGTATTTTAACCTAAATAATAATCACTATGATGTTAATAATTAAATATTAACGACTGATTAGTAGTGATTGGACGACGACCAACCCCGTCTTCTCAGGTCCTCCCCTCTTAAAAACCCTAGGTAAACAGTAACGCACATCATTGCTTCAAATCTTCAATTCAAGCTGGAAGATAAACAGAGACACAGTAATCCACTCAAATGGGTCAAGGGTTTCGAGAAAAAGAGAGAAACAAAAGATGCAATCTTTGCTTATGTTTAAGAACATGATGCAGCACTGCTCTGCACTGGTAATGGTGGGGAATTATGTGATTATTTCAGAAGCAACGCCACGCCAACCTTCTCCATGCTACCAAAAAGGCAAAAGTTCTACCTTTTTGCAGAGATGGTGATGATATACAGCACGG